GGCGACCGCATTCGTTTTTTCAGGCGTTTATTCTTTTATTTTCACCTGGTAATCCTGCAAATATGTCGCTTCTTGCCCCTTAGTGTCTACATTGTATCTATAGAGGCAGCCATGGCACACAGGCAGGAATTGAAGGCCTCGTTCACACCAGATGCAGTGCGTTCCGGCCCGATTCTGGCCAGAATGCACTGCCTCACTTTTTTGTGGGGCAGGAGGGGGCGCAATGCGATTAGCCGCACGGGATCACATAGCACATTATGCCTGTGGTCCGGTCAAAATGCTGCAAGCGCTATTTTGATCGGACCGGACCACAGGCATAATGTGCCTTGCGATCCTGTGCGGCCGATCGCATGGCTACGGTGCCATTCACTTCAATGGACCACCGCGCGCCCTCCTGCCCCACAAAAAAAGAGAGACCTGGCCGCAATGCGAGGCAGTGCGTTCTGGCCAGAATCGGCCCGGAACGCACTGCATCTGGTGTGAACGAGGCCTAAAATGTGTCTGTCTCTGTTCATCTCCATGGTGGACTGATGGCATTAGTAGTTTATACAAGATAGGGATTTTTTTTACTTCTTTTGATGCTCACGGGAAGTGACAAGGATTCTGCATTTCTGGCAGGATCCACTTGCTTATGTACGTTCTGGAAATGCTCTTTCTTAGAAGAAAACTAATGCAGCCACCACATCCACGGACTGGTAAGCTTCAATAGATTCCATTCTTGTTTTTAGGTTTATTAATACACAAAGCTCACCAAGATTCAAAGAATACGCATGACTCATGCAGTTACACAATCAATGCTTATCCCGGAGTTCAGCTTTAATATTTTGTAATCCTTTTCTATGCTACAATGGAAAATGGTGATAAACGTTATTGATGGCGAGAATAATACATAAAAAATGAACACCATCTTACATGAGCTCGTAGTTTCTGCGGATCGATTCTGGAATATTTGGTTTTGTTACTCTGACGGCCTAAAAAAGAAGTAAAATTTAAGAAAGAATGAATTACCGAAATTCAGCCAAACAATGAACCTGTTAGAAAAAAAACAAAAACCCACACGCATCCTTTAGTGACCAGACAGCAGTAAACTGAAGCCTGATTGGCTGCTATCAGTTACTGCTTACTGTGTCATGCACATTTTATTTCCTAGCAGGAAAATGCAGCAACTGCTCAAGCAGAACCATCTATATCAGGGTTTGGCAACTCCAACCCTCCAAATGTTGTAGAACTACAAGTGCCACGAGGTATTCCAAGACTGACAGTTACAGGCATGACTCCTAGAGGCAGAGACATGTTGGGATTTGTAGTTAAAGTACAGCTGGAGGTCCGAAATTACCCACCCCTGATCTATATAGATTGCTCTAATCACCACGCCATGTTGCTGTACCTACACCCTGGGATGAACCTTCTACCCCTCACCGACCTTTCACCTGAGCACAGGTTCCATGTGAAGCAGGAGCAATGATTGAATGTCAAGTAAGGCAGCTGTTCAGTCCCTCTGCTCACAGGGAACCTACCCTTATGTGTGGGCAGTCCCAAAAATACTGCAGAAGCAGCAGTTTGTTAGGACCCAGAAGAATATTGTAATAGAAAACTATCTGCAGGTTCTTAGGTTTATTTTTAGGTAAGGTGCAGAAAGGAGAGGTGTGACCTACATCCAGGATTCAGGTAGATAAACTAGTCCTACAATATTTCTTTAGAAACTCGGATGCATATGCAGGAATGTGGCGACCGCATTCGTTTTTTCAGGCGTTTATTCTTTTATTTTCACCTGGTAATCCTGCAAATATGTCGCTTCTTGCCCCTTAGTGTCTACATTGTATCTATAGAGGCAGCCATGGCACACAGGCAGGAATTGAAGGCCTCGTTCACACCAGATGCAGTGCGTTCCGGCCCGATTCTGGCCAGAATGCACTGCCTCACTTTTTTGTGGGGCAGGAGGGGGCGCAATGCGATTAGCCGCACGGGATCACATAGCACATTATGCCTGTGGTCCGGTCAAAATGCTGCAAGCGCTATTTTGATCGGACCGGACCACAGGCATAATGTGCCTTGCGATCCTGTGCGGCCGATCGCATGGCTACGGTGCCATTCACTTCAATGGACCACCGCGCGCCCTCCTGCCCCACAAAAAAAGAGAGACCTGGCCGCAATGCGAGGCAGTGCGTTCTGGCCAGAATCGGCCCGGAACGCACTGCATCTGGTGTGAACGAGGCCTAAAATGTGTCTGTCTCTGTTCATCTCCATGGTGGACTGATGGCATTAGTAGTTTATACAAGATAGGGATTTTTTTTACTTCTTTTGATGCTCACGGGAAGTGACAAGGATTCTGCATTTCTGGCAGGATCCACTTGCTTATGTACGTGCTGGAAATGCTCTTTCTTAGAAGAAAACTAATGCAGCCACCACATCCACGGACTGGTAAGCTTCAATAGATTCCATTCTTGTTTTTAGGTTTATTAATACACAAAGCTCACCAAGATTCAAAGAATACGCATGACTCATGTAGTTACACAATCAATGCTTATCCCGGAGTTCAGCTTTAATATTTTGTAATCCTTTTCTATGCTACAATGGAAAATGGTGATAAACGTTATTGATGGCGAGAATAATACATAAAAAATGAACACCATCTTACATGAGCTCGTAGTTTCTGCGGATCGATTCTGGAATATTTGGTTTTGTTACTCTGACGGCCTAAAAAAGAAGTAAAATTTAAGAAAGAATGAATTACCGAAATTCAGCCAAACAATGAACCTGTTAGAAAAAAAACAAAAACCCACACGCATCCTTTAGTGACCAGACAGCAGTAAACTGAAGCCTGATTGGCTGCTATCAGTTACTGCTTACTGTGTCATGCACATTTTATTTCCTAGCAGGAAAATGCAGCAACTGCTCAAGCAGAACCATCTATATCAGGGTTTGGCAACTCCAACCCTCCAAATGTTGTAGAACTACAAGTGCCACGAGGTATTCCAAGACTGACAGTTACAGGCATGACTCCTAGAGGCAGAGACATGTTGGGATTTGTAGTTAAAGTACAGCTGGAGGTCCGAAATTACCCACCCCTGATCTATATAGATTGCTCTAATCACCACGCCATGTTGCTGTACCTACACCCTGGGATGAACCTTCTACCCCTCACCGACCTTTCACCTGAGCACAGGTTCCATGTGAAGCAGGAGCAATGATTGAATGTCAAGTAAGGCAGCTGTTCAGTCCCTCTGCTCACAGGGAACCTACCCTTATGTGTGGGCAGTCCCAAAAATACTGCAGAAGCAGCAGTTTGTTAGGACCCAGAAGAATATTGTAATAGAAAACTATCTGCAGGTTCTTAGGTTTATTTTTAGGTAAGGTGCAGAAAGGAGAGGTGTGACCTACATCCAGGATTCAGGTAGATAAACTAGTCCTACAATATTTCTTTAGAAACTCGGATGCATATGCAGGAATGACTTAAGGCGCATCCAACAGTGACCTAAGGCGCATCCAACAGTGACCTAAGGCGCATCCAACAGTGACCTAAGGAGCATCCAACACTGTAGTACAGCTGGAGGTCCGAAATTACCCACCCCTGATCTATATAGATTGCTCTAATCACCACGCCATGTTGCTGTACCTACACCCTGGGATGAACCTTCTACCCCTCACCGACCTTTCACCTGAGCACAGGTTCCATGTGAAGCAGGAGCAATGATTGAATGTCAAGTAAGGCAGCTGTTCAGTCCCTCTGCTCACAGGGAACCTACCCTTATGTGTGGGCAGTCCCAAAAATACTGCAGAAGCAGCAGTTTGTTAGGACCCAGAAGAATATTGTAATAGAAAACTATCTGCAGGTTCTTAGGTTTATTTTTAGGTAAGGTGCAGAAAGGAGAGGTGTGACCTACATCCAGGATTCAGGTAGATAAACTAGTCCTACAATATTTCTTTAGAAACTCGGATGCATATGCAGGAATGACTTAAGGCGCATCCAACAGTGACCTAAGGCGCATCCAACAGTGACCTAAGGCGCATCCAACAGTGACCTAAGGAGCATCCAACACTGACCTAAGGAGCATCCAACACTGACCTAAGGAGCATCCAACACTGACCTAAGGAGCATCCAACACTGACCTAAGGCGCATCCAACAGTGACCTAAGGCGCATCCAACAGTGACCTAAGGCGCATCCAACAGTGACCTAAGGAGCATCTAACAGTGACCTAAATGAACGCATTTCTGTTCCCAGCTTTACCCCCAAAAATCCTTTCCTCTTAAAAGCAACTCTAAACTCAGGAGTTAGCTCTTAGAAATGCATTCAAGTACTCTATTAACAAAAATGTATCTTATTTGTGTATCATTCGGCTGTAGAGCCTCAAACCATCTCTGAATTGGTGCTGACACTGTCCTTCCTCCTGGAAGGTGACTACTGTTGATCCCCATGGTCCCTGTGTGTGTTGTAAAGTAGTCACCGCTCCAAGCTCACTCCTATGATGATTAGTTTACTAATTTGTAGAGGTGCACCTAAATTAAAATTTCAAAACTGAAACGAAATAAAAAAAAAACAAACGTCAGGCCAAAAGCAAATTTTTTATTTTCTAACGGTTTCAAATATTTTATTTTTATTAAATATTTATTGTTTTACTTTATTGTCTAAACAGACCCCTGATATTTTCCTTTTAAGATAGAAGAGATTGAGAACACAGAGTCCTCAATCTCTTTTTCTGCAGCCCCAGTTATAAATGAACAGGAATCCTCTATACTGAGTGTTCCTGTTCATTTATAACTTGAGGACAGACTATGTTTACTATATCCTCAATCATGAATGAACAGGAAATTATGTAGATCACTTCCCATTCATTCATAATTGGGGACACAGCAAAGATACTATCGCCACAATTATTTACAAACACTATGCGATCACTGAATGCTTGTACCCGCTCTCCATCCTGGATTGGCTGTTACAGGAGGTTGGGTGGGGCGGGAGGTGAGCCCAGCCTCCTGTGACAGCGCTGGCTATCTCCGCCCACACCACTCTCCTAATCTGTGACAGGAGGCTGAGCAGTGCGGGGAGGAGAGATGCTGGCCGCTCACAGCACTCTCCTACTCCCGCAGCGCTAGGCCTCCTGTGAGTTTCTCTCCTCCCCGCTGGGACACAGAGCAGCGCCCAGCGGGGAGGAGAGAAACCATGGATGCACCGCCATTTCGGACCCAAAAAAGTGCCACTTTCGGCCGATATGTTTCGGCGGATGAAATTTTGGTGCATCCCTACTAAATTGTATTGAGATTGTAGTCCATCACATGAGTGAGTTTGGAGCGGTGACTACTTTAAAAACACACACAGGAAACATGGGAAACAAAAGTAGCCACCCTCCAGATGGAAGGACAGTGTCTGCACCAATTCAGAGATGATTTGGAGGATCTACAGCCGTGTGATACACAAATAAGATACATTTTTGTTAATAGTTAAAGGTACTTAAATGCATTTTTAAGATTTAACTCCTAAATTTAGTGTTACTTTAAATCATGTTCCTGCCATGGACATATTTATATGGACTGACATCTAGGCTGCTCTATAAAACAAATCTGACTGAAAATTCGACCCCGCCATACCTGGATAATCAGGCCGGGAGCCATTGAATTGAGGTCTTGTTGCAGAGCCAGCTTGAGGTTCTCGTCTATCTGATCTATTAAGAGAAAGGGACAGCCAAGTCAGAGAAAAATTCACCACTTTCTTAAAGTAGATTTCCACTTTTGCAGCCATATTGGGATATCACCCATTTTATATTTCTTACATGCATACTGCATAACAAACAAACAAAAAAAATAGCTTCTTACATTTTAAGTGCTTTATACTTGCTAAAAAAATCATCCCCCTATGTAATATTAAGGAGGGGGCTGTGGGAAGGTATTTTTATTCTAATTAACCCTGTCTGTACTCTGCTGGCTGATGCCATCATCAGGCTGGCAATCACATTCCCAGATACACAGATGATCATTAGGGGCAGTGATGTGCGGTACCTCTGGTTTCGGGTGAGGCATTCCCCAGCACGTCCTGCCCCGGCTGAAGCCCCGCCCCCAACCCGGTCCCCAAGGTAGTGTGAAGGAGGAAGGGAGGAGAGAGGGAGGAGCCTCCCTGTCCCTCACTTGCTCATCACTGCTGAGGCATTGAGATCGATCGCCTCTGTGGTTTCTTTTTTTGGATTGGACAGCTTCGACCAATGGCGCTTTGCCAAGCCATCCACAGAGCTCATGCCTCTAACAAAAAGTAGAGGCGTTACAGCTCTTGCCTCACCAAGTTAGGTTACACAAGCAGTGGGGCAGCCTGCTGCTGTGTAACCTAACTACCTGTCAAATACCTGTAATTAACAGGCAACGCTCTATCCATGACAGGTTACACAGTGGGGAGGATTTCCCTGCTCTGTAACAGGCCGCTCTGAATGGAGAAAAAGCTGTCAGCTTCAGACTTGAATATGACAGCTTTTCCCTCCATAATACTAGGTGAGGCTCTGCCTCCCCTGACTGCACATCTCTGATTAGGGGGAGCATTTTGCTAAATTTGTATTTGAAATTCATCAAAATATGGAACAACAAATCAAGTAAAAAGTTATCTTCAAAATTACATTCTGCTAGATCTTAAAATGAGTGAGAATTTGTTCTTACTGAAAATAGATCAGAGTTTCCCTTTAGGCAACAACAGTCTGGCGCAAACTCCAGCCACCCAGCTGTGGAGGAACTACAAATCCTATGATGGATCTGTCTATAGGAGTTATGCCTGTGGCTGTGAGAATTTTGTAATGCCTCATGGGATTTGTCATTCCGCAACAGCTGGAGGTACAGGGAACTTCAGTGTCAAATGTTGATAGGAGTAAATGGGAAAGCTGGTCGGGAGGTCAGATACGATTAGGAATATATGCTCTGTCCCAACACCCCTATCACTGTAAATATCATGTGATATGTGCTCATGAAACCCTTACATATTCATCCTCCAGTTTCATTAAAAGCTCCTTTTTATACAGCAGCTTTAAAACTTTAAAACTCGGCAATTTGTATGAAGAGGTTTATTGACTTACCAAACAGCTCTATGTAAACTTCCTGCAAGGGGTGCACACTGCAGAACTGGTTCAGCTCATGGTGGATCTTATTAAATATTAACGCTTTGTCATAGTCCGCCGTGTAGTTCTTCACTATATCGTACACTGGGGGGCAATACAAAGAAGATTAACACTTGCATCCAAAATAAAATAAATAGCTCTCAATTTAGGTGATGACAATCATCATATAAAAGGAACAACTTATTTGCTTCTTATAAAAGTCGCTCACCTGCATTAGGAATGAGGAAATTAACCACTTCTATTCGGTCGAAATAGATCATGACTCCGCCACTAGGACAAATAGGAAATCAATTAAATAATGAATAGGAAATTAATTAAATAATGATTAATAAAACAACCAGAGTGCTTAAAACAATGGAGAGGACATAAACAATGCAAACATTAATAGAACAGTTCAGGCTTGATGTAATATCCGGAGTTTACAATGTTATTTAGGTCACAAACATTCACACAGATGCTCCAGGAGGACTAGGGTCTTAGAGCAACAAAACGGACCCAACAATTTACACATGACTACCTGTACAATGAAGGCTGCCCTCCCATGTAAAGGGTGACCCACCTGCACTACATCAAATATGCAACATGCGGGATTTCTAAAGCAAAACTTCAGCCAAAAATAAGATAAAATCAATAGGCTATAAAAAGATAAAAACAACAACAGGATATTTCTCCTGCAGTATTTATTTCTGCTGCTAGATGTCCTCAGACTGATGCCCAGCATCATTAAACCCACATCCTCTAAACCCAGGTCGTCTTGGACCCTCCCCAGTTTGTGACTGCACAGTGAAATGAGAAGTAGCACTGTCATGAGCTCATTTCTCCACTCTCTCCTCCCATCAGCATGCTTCTTGCCATCACATGAATTACTTAGTGTCTTGTTCTGCTACTTCCTCTCACATTCCAGACCTCCTGTACATGGACTGCAAGAGGCTGACACCATGTCAAATTCAGGTACTTACTAGGGGTGTGGAAATAAAAAACAAAAAAACAAAACTACTAGTCCAAGGAACAAAGCGGGGGACCAATGTACTTATCACCATACAAAAATTATTTTAATCAAACCCATATATTTACCCGTGCTAAGAAATGCTTCTCATTGGTCAGCGCAGTCACCTAACCGCACTGACCAACAAGTCACTTGCAGTTTGCGACCGAAATTCAAAATCCATAGCGTGTTGGAGTTTGTGTGTATGTGTGTGTGTGGGGGGACCATCATTGGGGGTGCTGGTCTGGGTAGGCGGGGTCAGATTTGAGCGTGCAATTTCATTTTCCCAACTTACTTGTTGTAGATGTGTAGATGTTTATATATGAGCCAACATGTACAAACCACAGCAGCCCAGGTTTATTATTAACATCATACGATGAATGTAGTCTCATTGTCACAGGTCGGCTTAGAACTATGAGGTGAGTGGAAATCACTCATGTCATAGTTCTCCTTTAGCAAAATGATCTGTATACGTGCAAGCTCAGATTAGTGAATATGACAGAGAAATAACAGAGCACTTCAATTCACTCAATATAATATAAAAGGTAAAACCTGCAAAGGTTATCTCTGTGACAACTACAAGTTAATTTCTCCAAAAAGAAGAAAAGACTTCTGGATTATTGCAACCTATTGGAGTGTCTAAGCATTAAAAGGAAAACTATAAAAAGGTCTTGGCTCAGTTTTCTGTTTTTTTAAACTAGTGTTTTTACATGGAATCCCCAAAGCCCTAAGGGTCAGCTAAGGGGACAACAGAGCAGTAATCATCCCCTTTTAGGCAGGAGCATAGAGTGGAGTCATCCACTTCCATGTGTACATTTTTCTTTGTGGTAATTATTTTTGTAAAAAGTGGGCATATAAAAAGACCCACCTGCAGGATGAGAAAAGACAATATATCATATTTACCTGAGGAAGGAGGAAAGGAAGGGATGGATGGCTGAAGAAAGGAAGCAAGGAAGGGATGGATGAAGAAAGGTAGGGATGGATGGATGAAGAAAGAAAGGAAGGGATGGATGGATGGATGGATGGATGAAGAAAGGAATGGATGGATGAAGAAAGGGATGGATGAAGAAAGGAAGGTAGAGAAGAGATAAAAGGAAGGGAGGGACTGATGAAGGGAGGAACGTCGGAGGGTGAAAAGAAGGAAAATGTGTATAAAACCACTATATATTCCCTTTCAATGATTTTTGATCTTGCAGGGTGATCAGTATAAAGTAGGAGATTTTAGGCAATGATCTCTGAGAGATATTTAAGATTAACCTCTACAAAAAGAAATAAAAGACCTCTGAGTAATGGTTATTTTCGTAGGACAGACCTTTTATTATGATAAATACATAACTATTATAGGAATATAAAAGTGAAATAACACTGTGGGTGGGGCTGATGCGTAGATAAGGCCAAAAGTCTTGGCTCATTTTGGAGAAG